TCATGGTCCTTAACTGCAATCCTGTCTTCGTATCTGATATTCTATCTTCAGATTCCCTTAATCTGCTCTGCATGCTTTCAGTGGAGCTTTTAATCTCCTGAATATCTGTTTGTATTAGTTTCATGGATTCCATTTCTTTCTTATCTTGGGTGACCATGGTTTCCATTTCTTTCTTATGCTGGGCATTCATGGCTTCCAGCATGGTTCTGAGCTCATCTATTTTTTTATCTGTTTCTGTTCTAGAGCCTCTAATCATGTCTTTCACTCTGTTCACCATCTCTGTAGTTATCTGGGAGATTATTTCTGTTTTGAATTTTTCTAGAGCCTCATTCATCTGTTTTGTTACTTCCTGTGATATCAGTTCAGGGTGTCCAGGTGGTTATCAGGCTTTTCCACCTCGTTTCCCCCAGAATTTGCCTTTTTGGGGTGGAAGTCTGAGTTTGTGCTTTACTTAAATGTCTTCTCATTTTTGTTTTTCTACTGTCCTTATTTAATTCCTGGGTTGATACTTTGATGTTGCTTATTGTAAGTATCTTTGTTGATGTATCTGGAACACTTATGGAATGATTGCTTCTCAGAAGTGTCTTCCAGATATAGCTGGTATTTAGATTTTGAGTCTCTAGTGGCTCTGAGACTGTCTCATTTTCATTATACCAGGAAGGACCCCTGACTAGATCAATAACAATGCCTTAGCCCAAGCAATACAATCAGCAACACAATAGCATCAAGTACCTCTTAGAAAATGACAATTTGTGGTAGTTATTAATCTATCACCTTTAACTGTGTGAATTAGATCAAAATAAAGGACCAACCAAACATATGTTTATAGTGAATAAACTCTTCAATATAGCAACTTTACCCTTGGGAAAGGGGAGTTAGAAGGAGTTGGGGAGGGAGGGATAGGTAGGTAGAAGAATATGGAAAGGTTAGCAGTAAAGCCTGAGGATACAGGTGAGAGAAAGAAAGAGAAGAAAAGTAAAATAAAGAAGACATACAAATTAGGGCCAGAACAGGAACACAATGGGAGATGAAGAACAATGTGGGACAGCAAGGGAGTGAGGGAGAGAGAAAGAGAAAGAAAAGAAAAAAGAAAAAAACAGAGAAAAATAAAAAATTTAAAAGAAGAAAAAAAGAAGAAAAAAAATTAAAAATAAGAGCAAAAAAAATAGTGGTAATTTTGAAAATAACAAATGAAAAATAAAAGTGAAGGGACTCCTTCAGGGTATGTCTCTGCTCTCACAATAGACAATGTAGGTAGCAGTATGCAGTTATAAGTGAATGAGTCTCAGTAAGCCAGTCACAGACCCATGAGTTTCAGGCAGATTTCTGGCTGCAAGTCCCAAGTTGAGCTCCCTGTCCTCCTGCAGGGTTGAACTGTGCAAAGTTCTATTGCATGTTCCAGCTGCCTTTCCCCTGAAGATAGTCCAGGTTCCGATGGGAGGTGATGATCCCTCCAACTTACCAAGTACAGTGGTCTGGTTTGCCTTTATTGCAGAGATCCTCTTCACTTTTCCAGTGGGCTTCAGTTTTCATCAGGGAGCCGAAGAGAGGCCCTCTTTCTGTTATTCACTTCTGTAGCTCAGGACAATGGCCTTATGTCCCCCTGTGCCTCTGTAGTGTGGAACCAGGTAGCTGCACAGCCAAGAGGCTGGGGGTGGGCCCTGTTGTTGCAGTTGCCTGCAGCTCCACGGGTGGCTGGTGAGGGTGCCCATACCAGCTCCTGGTCACAAGTGAGCAAGGCCTGCTGGATAGAGCTGGGCTTAGTCAGCCCAGGGTGCTCTGCCTACAGCTTGGCTCCATGGGTGGCTGGTGGTCATGCCCAGCGGTCCTCACTGGCTCCTGGTCGCAAGTGGGCATGACCGGCTCTTGGTCGCAAGTAGGTATGGCCTGCAGGACAGAGCTGGGCTCAGTCAGCCTGGCTGCTCTGCCCATCCAGCTCCGCCCGCACAGCTCCATGGGGTCTCAAAGTAATTTTCTAATAGTACAGTTCTTCCTATTATTTTTTAAGTTGATCCTGTAACAATAGTCCACAGTGACAGAGAGCTACCTCTGGAATGGAAAAGACGCATGGCCCCCTCTTGTTATTTGTCCATTGACTTTGCTTGGTGTTTTCATTCCATCTGGGTTTTTGCCTTTACTGGTTTTGTTGTTTCTGTCTAGGATATTCTTGAGTATTTTTTAGAGTGGTGGTTTAGTATTCATAATTCTGTTGAGTTGTTCTTTTTCATGAAATGTCCTCATTTCTCCATCTATGTTGAAGGAAAGTTTTGCTAGATACATTAATCTGGGTTGGAAATATTTGCTTCTGGAGCTTGAAATGCTTCACTCCAAGCTCTTCTGGCCTTTGAGGTTTGTGTTGAGAAGTCTGTTGTAATTTCCATGAGCTTACCTTTATATGTGATTTTTTGGTTTTCCTCTGCTTTCAAAAATCTGTTTATTGTTTGGACATCTGACATTTTAATTATGTTATGGCTTGGGGAGCTCCTTTTTTTCATCATAGTGGGTGTTCTGGAAGCCTCACTTGTATGTTGAGCTTTTTTCATATTTGGGAAATTTTCTATTATTATTAAATTAATTAGTCCATCTGTATTATCTTCTAGTTTTTCTCTAACTCCAATTAGCCTTAAGTTGGTCTTTTTAGTGTCATCTAGTAGCTGTTGGATGATTTTTCTTGTTCTGTCTTTTTTGTGGCTTCTTTTGAGAACTTCAGTCTATTTTACCATTTTGTCCTCAATTTTAGACACTGTCTTCACATAGGTCATTTTTGCAATTTATGAAATTTACGTAGTTTTTTATTTCTGGTATTTCTGCCTGATACTTTTTGTGGATTCTTTATCTTTGGTTAATTTTTCATTCATGTTTTGAACCATTTTGGTCAGCTTTTTAAAATTTTCATTTCCTTCAAATCCACACTGAACATTTTGAGTGATAATGCCATAAACTACTGAGTAATGTCCTCTCTGAACTTGTCAAGTCTCTTCATCTCTTCTTTAAACATTTCATAGAGCTCCATTACTTAGTATTTACTTTTCTCTCAATTTCTGCCCCTGAATCTGCTGGGGATCTTTTGTTTCCTTGTTTTCTTATAATACTATGTTTATGTATATCTGTTTTTTTTTATTCACCCTCCCTTTTTCCATTTATTTATTTATTTATTGGTACTGCATGTTGAGGTCTAGTAGGATGAGAAGAGCTTGGAATTTCAATGAAGATTTTTAGTAAGATACTGCCTTCCTGTGATGTGTTTTCAGCTTTATACACCCAGAGATAGTATTTACTTCTTCAGCTATTTAAGTGATTTGAATTTTGTCCCTATGCTTTGAGGAAAAAACTGCTTCTAGTTATAATAGCACCACTAGATATAATCATATATCACTTATATAAGATAGATCTTGAATTTATACTTTCTTTTTTATCAATGTTCTGTAAAGCCTATGTTCAATTTTTATTATTATTATTATTATTTTATTTTTTGTACCGGGGATCAAACACGGGACCTTGCGCTTGTGAGTCAGGCCGTGGAACCACTGAGCTAAATCCCTAGCCCAATGTTCAATTATTATTAGCAGTTGTTCTACAATGTGGCAGGAAAGGGAAAGGAAGAGACTGAAGGGTGGGTGAAAGAGGAGTGCAGTTTAGTAAGGGGGGAGGGAGCTTGTTAGGGGAGATAGTGATAGGTGAAAAGAAAGAAAATTTGATATGGGGTCAGATTCTGTTGGGAGTACTTTTAGTTGGGTTGAAGGATTAGTGTTGAGGGTTTTAATAAGCTACTCATGGGAATGAAGATGAGATATAGGAAGAATGAGGTGTACTATGTGGTGATCAGAATCTGTTGATAAGTTCATGTACTTGTATCCTGGAAAAGAGGTATGGGAGGATGGAGGCTAGGTATGATATGGAAGAGCAAAAGGAAAAGGAGGGAGAGGATAGAGGGTTAATACAGGAGAAGCTAGGAATGACAGAGAGAGGGAGAGAGGGAGAGAGAGAGAGAGAGAGAGAGAGGGAGAGGGAGAGAAAGAGAGAGAGAGAGCAGAATATGGCAGATTAAAAACTTGAGGAATTTAACATGTTTCCACCACCTTGAAGCACCAGTGGTATATGTATGACTGTCTCATTGGGTGGCTTGAAGCATTGGTGGTTACCTATTTATGGGCCTGTCATGAATGTGTTAAAAAGTAAAAAAAAAAAAATAGTATTGCTATGGGAGCTTGAGGTAAAGAAACTAGATAGGGAGATGAGAAGAGAGAGAGAACACTCAAAGCAAAGCAAATCAAATGAAGAAAAGATAAAGTAAAAAAACCCATAAATCATTAAATAAACAAATGAAGAAAAAAACAAAACTCAGACAATATTCCACAGAAACTCAGTTCAAAAACTCCAAGAGAATGTATATGCGATTCACATATAACTGTTTTGCCAGAAAGCCTGAGTATTCACACCATTCTTTTCTTGCAGTGACTGAAGCATGTTTATATGCAGCCACACCAATATCACCTCTGACCTTTCTATTGTGAAACTAAAGCTAACCCAGTCTCAGGACTTCATTCTGCTGGCTTGCAGGAATGCAAGCAGTCTGATGCTGACCCAGCTCTTAGGTTAAGATCTCTTCCAACATCTCCCTCCCCAGGTGTGATGGCAGAATTGGCAGACAGGTTCACTGCCAAGTGAGTGACCGCTGAGATGGCAGGCTTGCATTCTGGTGGGCATCCTCAGGGGTCTGCAATTGCTTTCACACACTGGCTGGGGATTCAATAGGAGACACCAGTCACTGGCATGGAATGGCTTGGCTCTTCCCCTCAGGCAGGAGTTCACATATTCCTTAGGGCAGGTATGCCTGCCCATTGGAATCCACAGTCCCTGCCACTCTGCCCAGGGTATGGGTGGGGTTCCCTTCCCTGCTGTGGGTGCTGCTTGGGATTCTGCAAGGGATGGCAGTGGCTGCAATTCCTTCTTGACAGCTATGTAGAAAAGCCCATGTGTCTGCACAATTTCCTTCTTGCCTTGTAGTCTGGTTGCAGGTGGTCAACCATATTCTCTGCAGATGGTCACCCATATTCTCTGCAGATGGGTACATTCTCTGAGGTGGCATACTGGCATCAAGGCAAAAACACACGCAACTCACCCTGTGGTTGGATGCTGGTGCCTGTGACCCCGTGGGCCAGCGGACATACAGGGCTCATGCAAGGTGGTTTGGATGTGCTATGTATGACTTAGCTGACCAGCAGATACATATGCATAGGTGCCAGGTGGTCTGGCTATGCTTGCTTGTGACTCAGCAAGAAGTCTGGGTAAGTGGGCTATTTGGGCGAGTGCTGAGGCTGTGCACATGCACACGGATGACTTGGCCAGTGGTCTAGGTATGTAGGTCCTTGAGCTGCACCAGCTCAGCTAAAATGCCATTTACCTGTGTATCCTCTCTCTGACTGGAGTCTGTTATTTGGGACTTCCCTGCCTGTGGTACATGTTGAAGCAGAGAACACAGGAATGCAGTGATTGGAGGTGTGTATGTGTATGTGTGTACTCAAAAGTCTGTACAAGGAATCTGGTCTCTGCAATGCAGTCCCTCAGGCTTTTTGCCTGTTAAAATGGCTGCTCCCCAGAGGAGTAGGAGGAGGGGGCCGACCTGCCCTGGCAGTGCCACTTCCCTTTTTCAATTTGATTTGATGTATATATATCATCTTACTAATTTTGTTTCAGTGTGAAAGCCCCTCCCCTCTTCAGAATATCTTTTTAGTAAATCCTCTCTGAGCCTCTATGTGATTCCTTCACTAGTTAGCCGTGTTGAATCTCTGGGGCATACTTTATATAGGGCTCATATTCTTGCAAAAATTATGTTATTTTCTAAGTAAATAGCAAATATTTGGCTTTGGTAAAGGCAATTGCAAAGCAATGTAACTACAGATAATTGATGGCTATGGAAAAGCTATGCTATACTCTAAAGACTTTGGGTATCATTAATGTTTACAAGTGTATAACCTCTCGGGTGATAATGGAAAAACAAAGCAAGATGTCTTTTGCAAACTGAAATGACTAAGAAAACCTAAAGTAACACTTAAAATAAAGGCAAGAAACAATGAAAGAAACATTGACATCTCAGCTCTTTTCTATTTATTTATATGTCTATTGTTGGGAGCAATGCTACATAATTTTAGGGTAAAATCATTTGGTTGGCCTAGTTCTCCTGCCTACAGCCCAGCGATGGAATTCCGAGTCATAACTCCATTTTGGCCTCCAGTCACAACTGAGATCTCAATGATCCAGTGATGCTGTGATTCTCCAGGACAAGAACCGTTCTGGGAGCTGAGAACATCCTGGAAGGAACAAACATCTACTCAGTTCCTCCTTGTTCTTGGATTGTTACATCTTATTTACGCAGGATGTACTGAACTCTCTGCAAGTCATTTGTTACATTTGTTTCTCCCAATGTACTGAGTACTGAATAAAAGGTGCGGTAAGCTGGGGCCTTTAGTCTTTGCTGCCCAGAGCAGCACTGATCAGACCCAAAGCTCAGCTTCTTCTCAGTCTCATTTTCCTACCTTTCCTGTAATTCGCTGTGTACTGCCGTGGCTCGCAGGAGACTATGATTTAACTGCAGAGATTCTAGTAACGTCCCCTTTCCCTGTACCCTACACTCTATGCCTTTTTTACTCTATTTTATTGAGAATTTGTGTTCATATTATTAATTCAGCCAGTGACGTGTCATTCTATTGAATTTTCTATTTTAATTATCGGGCCTTTCAACCTTTAAGAATTCTTTCCAGCTCTGATTTAATCCTTCCCATGGAAGCTTGTACTCTCTCTTTGGTGAACATGCCCACTTGACCCTTTCTAAGGTGTTGACTAAAGTTTTTAAAATTTTCTTTTGTTTCTTGCATCATCTACAATTCTTCTAGAGTCAACAATACATTTTTCTCATTTTCATCTTGCTGATCTTCCTCTCATAGCTAGTGATCTTTGTGTGTTCATGTTTATAAATAAGTTTCTTGTGATAGGTGGTCATCTTGTATTTCTTGCACCCCTATTGTAGTTCTGTTACCTGTTTCCCAAGCAGGATTTCCCCTTTAATGAGCTGGTTAACTTTTACTTATGATTAAATGGTAAAGGCACCCCACAGTCTTAAGGTCCATAAACAGGCTGTAACAGATAAAGAAGTCTTTGCAACAGAGTTGAAGGGCACTGGAGCATATGAGAAGTCCTTAGTATATTTATAAAGCATCTCTTCTAGCTTTAAAAAGAAGTTATTACGGTTTTAATGCAGGGACAAACCCTTTATTGAGCTGTCTGTATAGGAGGAAGGGGTTGCTTTAACCATTACGTCTTCTTAGCCTTCACCAGTCAGTAACGATTTCCTTGTTTTCCCATGACCTTGACACTTTTGAAGAACACTGATCAGGTATTATTTTGCAGAAGATCCCTGCTTGGTGTTGCTTGAAATTTTCTCATGATAAGATTGAGGTTATGTACTTTTGCCAAAGTGTTATTAAGCTCAAAATGATAAGTGAGAATGTAAAAAACCTAGAAGTCCCTGATGTCCCAATACCAGCTGATACTAACTCTGAACAGAGTTAAGGTGTCAGTCGGGGTTTTTTTGGAAAGTGATTATTTTTCCCTTTGTAGTTACACTTTGAAATGAGATAAAAGAAGCAAAGAAAGGAGACTCTCATCATTCTTCACCAATTTTAGCATCCATTGAAATAATTATTTCCCTGATATTTACCAAATGATTTTTCTATTTCTATTATTCTTTCTACATTTACTTATTAGAATTTTACTATAAAGAAGAGCTGGCCTTTTGCTTCAATTTATTTATTTCTTCAAAGTTTTTTTATTAGTAGTAAAGATTCACGGATATTTAATGCTATGGGCTTTAGCTCATTTGCACAATATATTCTATCATATCAGGTTTTTAAATTATTTTTATGGTTGATTTCAAATATGATTATGTGTTGCTGAGAAAACAATCAAAATGACAGCACATTTTGGACATTTAAGGTTTCTTTTGTGACAGAGGACATGGTTAATGTTTTGTAACTATTATTTGAGTGTATGACATAATGAACATCCTTTTTTGTTTAGATTATTTTCATTTTGAACTATAAACTACATCCATTAAGCTACACAAATATAATTATATATTTAGTGAATTATTATAAAGCAGATACCTATGTTACCACCACTTACATGAAAAAATTAAAATTTTCCTCATGACAGAAATCCTTCCTAAGTCCCATATTTCAATTATGTCCTCTCTGCCTATCCCCAAAGAAAACCAATGTTTTCATTTTTAGGTTATCTAGTTACTTGCTTCTCCTAATAAATTGCACTTGCTCTTAGCCAAAAGGCCGAGAAGCGATCTCTCCTAATAAATTTACCATCTAAGTATACTCTACTAAACATCACAGTTTAACAGAAAAAGATATATTATGGAAACATGATTAGTAATCAACCAATCTATTAATATCACATATAGTCAAGATATGGAACTAGCCTAGGTGGCCATCAAGGAATGAGTGGATAAAGAAAATGTGGTATACATATAAAATGGAGTATTATCTAGTCACGGAGAAGGAAATTACTGTGTTATCATTTACAGGAAAATAGATGGAACTGGAAATCAGCAAGTAAAGAAAAATAAGCCAAACTCAGAAAGTACATGGTCTCCCTAATATGTGGACTCTAAAAATGAAGACATGAAAATGGAGACTATCATGACAAGAGGAAGGGAATAAGAGGGAGAAGGATATGTAAAGCAGGTTAATGGGAAGACGGAAAAATGTTATTAATTATATCATTAAGAGATCATGATGTTGACATAAATTTATCGAAGTGAAAAGGTGTCTACCACATTCTGTAAAGTGCAACAAGTTTCAAAACAGTAATATATAGCATTTATTTTAAATAATGTGTTAATGGTATCAAGAAATTGCAAAGAATGGTGTTTACTTAACTGTTTTAATCTGTCTCTGGGAGTGAGTTGTTAAACACATTTTTCTTTTTGTTTAAGACTTTTTGACTTGTGCTATTATAAAATGTTTCTGAGCAGAGGAACTTAAGAATTGCTCTAAGTATGTGAAGTGCTGAATACATTAATTAGCTTGATTGCAGCAACCATTTTACAATTTACTTATACCATGAAACATGTTGTACACTTAAATATGTATGATTTTGTCCATTATACTTTAAAAATTTTTATTGATATGTATAGTACATTATTATATTAATCATGGGAAGTTGGTACATGTACATGACATTTATCAATTCCTTTTTTAAACCCCCTCCTCTTCTCTCCCTCGTCATCCCTGCACCTCTTGGACCCCCTCTCCTATTTATTTTTTATGCATGCTTGTAGTATACAATTATCACATTCCCCAAAGGAACTTGGTCCATATACGCAGCACCTCAGAATGCTCCCTACACACCATTTTTTATTAATCTCATTGCCTTCCCCTCCCACTCCCTTCCTTCTTTCAGTTCCCTTTGGGTTCCCTTTCCATATGTCAAAGATCCATCTCACTTGTACCTACTGCCTATTCTTTATTTTGCACTTCATTTATATATTGGGGTTCTCATATAAAAGAAACCAAATGATTTTAAGCTTAGGAGTCTGATTCACCTCACAACATTATCTTCTTAAGTTGCATCCATTTTTCTACAAATGACTTGTTTATCCTTCTTTATGGCAGAGTAGTACTCCACTATGTATAAATACCACATTTTCTCTAACCATTAATTTGTTGATGGGTTTTTAGGCTGTTTCCAAGATTTAGCTATTATGAATTGTGCTGTTCTAAACATGGATATGCATGTGTCACAATATGATATCTTTAACTCTTCTGAGAAGATACCTAGTAGAATGGGTGAGTCAACTGCAATTTCTATTTTTAGTTTTTTGAGGACTCTCCATACTGATTTCTATAGTGGTTGCACCATTTTACACTCTCTTAATAATAAAGAAGTCTTCTCTTTTTCCTGCAGGCTCTTCAGCATTTTTTTTTCTTCCTGATGATAGCCATTCTTTCTGGAGATGGAATCTCAGTGTTGTTTTAATTTGCATTCTTGAATGGCTAGCAATGTTGATCTTTTGTATGT